CTCAAAAATAAATAAAAACATTAAGAAAAAAAATTTTAAAAAAACCTTTTAAAGGTTTAATCCTAAACAAAAAGGAAATTGTTTTAGAGCATATGGTCTATGTGCTTTGTATTAGAGAAAACAGAAGATCCAGAAAAGCTAGAAAAATGCAGCCAATTTTAATTATTTTTCCAGAGATACATGTTACTAACATTTGGTGTATGTCCTTCCTGATGTATTCTATTCATACACACATTTTTAAATAATATAAAACTGGGATCAAACTGACATTGCACTTTACTCACCTGCTAAGTGAGTTAAGTCTTAAACTTCTTTAGTTCTAAGCTTAGATAGAACTGCATTGTCCAATATGGTAGTCCTTAGCCAGATGCAGCTTTTAATTTGAAATCAATTAAAGTTAAATGAAATTGTAACATTCAGCCAAACAAGTGGTTTATCTGAATCTTACTTGTAAGCTAACATAACAAATAATATAATTTACCCAGTTAACAAGAAAAAATGTGAACATCGTGTGATGATCCAAATAAATGTTGGGTAGAAATGAAGGCATTCAGAATTCAGCATCTCTTCCTAATTAAAATTCTTTCAATTGGGAGGGAAGTTTTTTAACATAAATAAGTGAACACACACGTACGATGCACTCTTCAGTCTCCAAGAGTTCACCTAATACCTCATGGAGAAGAACAAGGGCCCTTTCGTTGGAAATAAAGATAAAGGTGTCCTCCTATAGAAGTCCTGTCTGGTGTATTTGTGAGAATTTCTAGCAATAACTTTTGAGCACAAAAAGAAATAGAAGAAAAGTATAAACACCGTTCTCTATAAACAATACAGTTAAAAAGGAGCAAAACTTGGGGCACCTGGGTGACTCATTCGGTTGAGCGTCTGACTTCGGCTCAGGTCATGGTCTCACAGCTTGTGAGTTCAAGCCCCACGTCAGGCTCTGTGCTGATAGCTCAGAGCCTGGAGCCTGCTCTGGATTCTGTGTCTCCCTCTCTCTCTGCCCACCCCCCTTGTGCTCTGTCTCTCTCTGTCTCTCAAAAATAAATAAACATTAAAAAAAAAAGGAGCAGAACTTCAAGAAAATTAGCCAGCAGTTTCTAGAGATAATGAGAGTCCAGATTTGCAGGATATGTCTACACCCTCCATTGTGTTCCATTATGCAGATCATACAGAGTAGGAGAATAGAAGGAAAAAAAAGAGAGCCTGTGTATGACAACAGGAACTTGTAGTGAACATGATGAGAAGAATAAAGATACAAATAAATGAAAGCATACTATAATTCTGATAAGGAAATCAAGTTATAGTAAGAACTATAATGTGTAAACAATAACCCCAAAAGAATTTTTTTAAGTTTGTTTATTTACTTTGAGAGAAAGTGAGCATGAGCAGGGGAGGGGCACAGAGAGAGGGATAGAGAGAGAGAGAGAGAGAGAGAGAGAGAGAGAGAACCTCAAGTAGGCTCCACGCTGTCAGCACAGAGCCCAACTTCGGGCTCGAGCTCACAAACTATGAGATCATGACCTGAGCCGAGATCAGCAGTCCGACGCTTAACTGCCTGAGCCACCCAGGTGCCTCCCCCAAAAGAATTTTTGTAATAAGAACTCTAAAATGCTTGCATCTGTAAAAACAAATATATAAGATCAATATGAAAGAAACTACAAATTGTTATTCAAAGACATACAAAGTTCAGAAATAATGAGACACGCATCGTTCCTGAACTCAGTATTATAAAGACTTCAGTTCTCCCTCATCAGTTTAGAAATCCAGTCTAATTGCAATCATGAGGGCTTCTTTGAGAAAACACCAAGTGTCAGCTGACCCTGGTGCTGCCGATGAGCCTGGGGGGTCTGGGGGCCCTGGAATGGGAGACCACGGTGGCTTCTGTGGGGGTTGAGGACAAGGAGTGGATCCCGGTCACCAAGCTGGGCCACCTGGTCAAAGACATGAAGATCTGGAGAAGATCTGTCTCTTCTCCCTGCCCATCAAGGAATCTGAGATCACGGACTTTTTCCTGGGGGTGTCCCTCGAGGAGCTTTTGAAGAATATGCTGCTGCAAAAGCAAACCCATGCTGGCCAGCAGACCAGGTTCTAGGCATTTGTTGCCATCGGAGAGGACAATGGACACATCGGTCTGGGTGTTAAGTGCTCCAGGGAGGTAGCCAGTGCCGACCGTGAGGTCGTGATCCCTGCCAAACTTTCCAGGGACCTGTGTGGTGAGGTGACTCGGGGGACAAGATCACCAAGCCCCACACTGTCCCGTGCGGAGTGACCAGCTGCTGTGGCTCTGTGCTGATGCACTTCATCCTCGACCCCAGGGGCACTGGCACTGTCTCTGTCCCTGAGCCCAAGAAGATACGGACAATGACAGTACTGACGCCTGCTACACGCCAGCCAGGGTCTGCCCTGCCCCCCGGGCAACTTCACCAAGGCCACTTTTGATTCCCAAGACCTACACCTGTCTCTTCCCCACCTCTGGAAAGAGACTGTTCATCAAGTCTCCCTATCAGGAGTTCACTGACCATCTTGGGAAGCCCACACCAGAGTCTCCGTACAGAAGACCCAGGCTCCACTAGTGTTCGCCACATAGTTTTATACAAGGAAAACAAAGTGAACTAAGTCTGTGTTTAAAAAAAAAAAAATGCCAGTGGGATTTTTCTCTGAACTGATTCATTTGAAAATGAAAGCAAAACAAACAGAAGAAAGTGGAAACAAATATCGTTTTAAGAGCATTTAAAAAAATAAACGGTGGAAGGGGAAGGTTGTAAGAACAGACAAAATAGTTTTGATAAGAATTAAAATGGTGGACCTGCCGGAACATATACCAAAAAAAATCTATAAACCTGCACTAATATTAAAGATGTGGAATTAGTATAGTTCTAGACAAATAGATCAATCGAGTCAGATAATTCCTATTTTCAGATCTTTCTCTCTCACACACACACACACACACACACACACACACACACATGAAATAATTCCATATGGGGTAAAAACCAAATGTAAATGACCAAAACTAGTAAAAATTTGGAAGAAACTAGAAGAAATTATAAGCTTGGGGTATAACATCTGTATAACAAATATATAGGAATATATATAAAAGTTGGGAATTGGCGGGGGCGGGGGGGCACCTGCATAACTCATTGGTTGAAGGTCCGACTTTGGCTCAGGTCACGATCTCACAGTTCTTGGGTTCAAGCCCCATGTCGGGCTCTGTGCTGACAGCAGCCTGGAGCCTGGAGCCTGCTTTGTATTCTGTGTCTCCCTCTCTCTCTGCCCCTCCCTTACTCACACTATGTCTCTGTCTCTCAAAAATAAATAAATGTTTTTTAAAAACTTTTTTTTAAAAGTTGGGAATTGGAAGAAGGATCGGGGTAGTAGGGAAACTTTTCGTGACATAAATGCCCTCCAGCAAACTTCTTAATTTCTCGCCTACTTTTAAAGTGAAACACTAAAAATAGGCATGTATTTCTTAATAGTAGAAAAGATAACATGACTGGAAGAAAATATTTGCCCTGTAGAGAATAGGAAAATGCTGAATATTCAGAATATACTGAGAAACTCCCAACAATAACCCAAAACTACAGAAAAGCAGGCAAAGGATAGTAATGCATAATTCTTTTGGCCAGAAATAAAATTAAAATGTTACATTTCTCTAATAATCCATGGTATTCCCATTTTTCAGAGAACAAGTGTCCATTTTTTAATGATCATGCTTACAGAGCCTTTAAAGCTTGATATTTTGTGGCCCTGGTGACGAGTGACAAGAAGCAGATGGTCTAACAAAGTGTGACTTTGTGTATTGGTCTACCCATTTTTTGGAAGACACTTTTTCAGGAGCTACTAAAATTTTAAGCGCTCATCTTTTAGACCCCAGCAATGAGTTTTCTTTTTAGCTCCTTTAGAGCATAGTCACACATGGCTCTAATCCATTCTTTCCCTGTTTTGAGTTGGGTCTCATTTGGGACACTCTGTTTTCAGTTCAGCCACTTTTAATACCATGGGTTTAGAATGATCAAGTTACTGTTCCAGTGAACCACCTTAAGAGCCAGATCAGAAATAGCAATATTTTAGTAATGGCCTTTAAAGTTTATTTATTTTTGAGAGAGAGAAACAGAGTGGGAGCAGGGGAGGGACAGAGAGAGAGGAAGACACCGAATCTGAAGCAGGCTCCAGGCTCTGAGCTGTCAGCCCAGAGCCCGACGCAGGGCTCGAACTCACGAACCGCGAGATCATGACCTGAGCTGAAGTCAGAGGCTCACCCGACTGAGCCACCCAGGCGCCTCTAGTTATGGCCTTTCATAAAGATAACCACATTCCATTTTTCATTATCATATTGGATGAAAGCACATATTTGATGGAGCATTATTTTATGAAAATTGGAGATTTAAAACATTTTTTCCCATTTTCTCTTTTTAGAATTTGAACCAGAATCCAAGGACTCTTTTGCCAAAATTTTACGGACTGTACTGCATGCAATCGGGGGGCATTAACATCAGGATCGTGGTAATGAACAACGTCTTACCGCGCTCCATGAGAATGCACTTCACGTATGACCTGAAAGGCTCCACGTACAAGCGAAGAGCTTCCCGAAAAGAGAGGGAGAAATCCAACCCCACCTTCAAGGACTTGGATTTCCTGCAGGACATGCACGAAGGGTTATATTTTGACACAGAAACTTACAACGCGCTCATGAAAACACTTCAGAGAGACTGCCGGGTAAGGAAATACCATTGCCGGGATTGCCCTGGGAAAGGCATCTGTGATAATGTCACCTTGGTGAGGAATGTCCAGAACAGACGTGTGGAATCCCTTTGTTAACCATCCGAGTGCCCATCCATGCTTCCTTGATGTTGAAGGAATTGGTGGACGATAAGGGAATTGTCTAGGAGTGTCTATGAATTTCAGTAAAAAGCAAAGTCAGCTTTCTTTGATAAAATTAAACAAGAATTTGGTTTTTTTTTTTGTTTTTTTTTTTTGTTTGTTTGCTTTCCATCCCCCCCTGTGGTTAAACCGGAGGGAAAAGGAATTGGGTGTAATGCAATGATTAGCAAGAAAAGCCATATACAAACCTTGGCACAGGTAACATTCCAACCGGGGAGAGAAGTTCCCTGGATACTTGGTGTGGGTGCAGTACGCTTGCTGAAATTATTTTGGGCCATCGTGAATGAGTCCCAACACTTAGAGCAAAGACCATAACGTGGAAACTTTGCGGGATTGTCAAAAGGAAGGAGGAATTCATAGTCCCTCAGCCTGCCGCTCTTAGGAACATAATAACGAGACCCAAAACCTGGGAGGGATTTTTCCCGATAGGGTGAATTTACAGAAAGTAGGTAAAGGTTCCCTTGGAGAAAACGATGGAAGTGGAACTGTGATGGCTTCTGAAGAAGGATGATCATCTGATGAACACATTCTCAGAAAGAGCGTTTTGTGCCCCAGGTGAACTTGGGAATACCGTCTAGCTCCAAGCTAAGTTGGGCATAGCGGAGGTGGCCAGGGCTTTTGCTAGGAGTGGATAGGCTTCTGGAACGTATGAGCTGTGTCTTCCAGACTGTGGCTTTCCGGACCTTGTGTGGCTCTGGACAGATGACCCACGTTGGTGCACGGGGGAGGGGGACGAATCCTTGCTGAGAAACACAGTCCTACTATTTATGGATCGTTTCTTTCTACCTGTTAGGATGTGAATGACGATGCGCAAAGTGTGTCATTGAGTGGGTCGTTTCATTGACAGCGAAGTTACTCCACAGCTCCTATTCTTAATGCCCAGTGCGCCAGACTAGCCTAGGATTTTTTGATGTACGTTTCCTTTCATTTTCTCAGCATCCGTTTGAAGTTTGTAACCATTCTCATTCCCATTTTAACTGGTGAATCATCAGGCTCTTAAAGAGGGCAAGCAACCTGCCCAGCGTTACTTAGCAAGTCAGGGGCGGCGCCCACACCTCCTTGGGTACAAAGTATGTGCTGTTCACAATTGACACGTAATGGCTCGCTGTAAGGAGTTTTTGTTTTTCATTATCTTTTCACAAGTCAAGGGAACTAAAGCAAACCAACAACAACAACAACAAAAATGTCCAGCTGAGCTATTCAGCTATCTGGGTGGATATGAATGATTCATGTTTTTCTTTAAAAAAGAAAAACCAACGTGCGCGCGCGCGCACACACACACACACACACACACACACA